ATTCTAGTCTTTTCATGATATTTAGATTTTGTTTTTAAGGGAGATGATGCATGACACTTAAATTCTATACTTGAATAAAGCAAATGTGCAATGTTGATGCGAGCATATGGTTTGTTTTATAAATGCTCTACATATATGCTTTATTGAATTGTTATTCCTCAAATAGCTTTAATTGCTCATTGTGAAAAAGAGAATAAAAATATAAAAAAAGAATACCGAATCCTTGGAAACAGTCTTGACGACACTGACGTATTCGATGTGAGCAAAATAATGGGTGTCGAATCCCTGGAAATAGTCTTGACGACAGGGACGTACCTGGAATAAAAGAGAAAAATATGAGCAAAAAGGCTCAAGAAAAGAAAAAGTTAAAAAAAAATTCTCTTGGTTGTTTTGTGCCAAAGGTTATTTGAGAAAGAATGATAAATGCATTAGGTATATGCGTTTAGTGTTTATTCTTCAACCTATGTGCTTGTAAAGATGTTGTATTATAAATCGTATGAAATCATGAATTTTGATTGTTGATTCAAGCTTAATTGTAAAATCTTTGGTTCATGTTTATACTTTAATGCATGTTTGCTATATTATAGATGGGTTCATCTTCTTTTTATTGCAACACATGATATGATATGCTATATGTATGATAAGCTCTTATACATTAATGAACATAATTTCTATGCTTGATGAAATCATTGTCAAAAGGGGGAGAAGTAATGTGAAATTTTTGGAGAAACAAATGATTTGAGAAGAGCTTGTCGATTGGGAAATTTCTTTTTTTTCAAAAGAGAGAGAAGTTTTCTTTTGAATTTTTGAGCACGATGTGTAACATTTGTACGAAGTGTGCTTTTTACCACTTTTGTTTTTATTTTTCCAAACACCAAAACATTTTGATGGGTTTGCCAATGTGTTCATCAAGAGGGAGATTGTAAAATTAAAGGTGTTTTTGATTATTATTCTGTGATGAACAATTGGCATCGGAGATTATTGGTTTTGTTATTTGGAATTTATTTGCGAAGTGGTTTTATAGATGATTGGAATTTACAGGTGATTGACAGGGACTGCTGTTTGTCGGGACCGGTCAAACCGGGTAGGGTATGCCGGTCAGACCGGAGGTATATGCGTGGTCAGACCGGCGCAGCCCGCGGTCTGACCGGCCGACGTTGTGTCAGTTTTAGTTTCGGGTTGTTTGTTTGGATATCCGTGATTGTTTCATGATTATGGCTTCTGGATGGATACTATACATATGTAATACTGTTGTTTGCTACTAATGAGTCAAGTTGGAGATAGCTTGGTCTCGGAATATGGTTTCTTTGTTTATTTTATGTGTAGGTGACTCGATGCCTCGGGAGAGTATTTGCGATGATGGACCGGGAGTCGGCTTAGGGATAAGACGACATCCGAGGTGGTCAGAGATCATGCGGGATACTTAGGCTAGAGTTGATGCACATGGTTTGTGAAGATTCCATATGGCATACGATGGAGGTATTGTGTGCGTATGGGATGCGGAGTCGAATTTGGAAGGAGTCCAAATTTGGTATGATTGGTTATGTAAAGTTTGTTTCTTGTACTAAAGGGTTTCCTAAGGTGTTTAGGACTTCTAGTATGAGTTTGGTTCGTGGCTTTAGGCTGCCTACCTCGGGTATAAATAGAGGGGGAGCGTGAGGCTTTCCGGTATTGCTTTTGAGAGCAATTGAGTTGAGTTTTGAGTTAGGGTTTCGAGTTTAGTCGAAATTTTTGTAAGGACTGCTATTGATGCACTTTGTAAACACAGAGAGAATCAATAAAATTATCATCTACTTTAAAAGTTCTTCGATTTGTGTTTCACCGGGTTTCGACGGTCTAACCGGCGACACACCGGCGGTCAGACCGGCAGCATCGCGGCGGTCAGACCGGCGGCGGCAGGCGACTTCGGCGGTTCGACCGATCGATCTACATCGGTCAGACCGACGTTCATCAGGCGGTCAAACTGGCGCAATACCTTCGGTCAGACCGCGATCCGTCGAATTTGAGAGTAACTTTTATTTCCGCTAAAAGTTTTCGGTTTTTGGTATACCAACCATTCACCCCCTCTGGTTGGTTTAGTTCTTGTGATTTGATCTTACGTGGTCTGGCCTCATGTTCTTAGTCTGTAAGGTCCTTTTGTTGGAGTTCTTAGAGTTGCTGGTCCGGTTTCGCTTCTGTCTTGTAACTCTTTCGGTTGTACTGTCTGGAATGTGGCCTGCGGTGTGTGGATGTCATATGTACCGAACTTACATAGCAAGCCGGTGTTCCCAGCTCATGCGGTCATGGCTTTCTATAAAAGCGGGTCTTTGGCCTTTTCTTAAAAAACAAATTCGAGATGAATTTATTTATGCATGACACGGTTTGCCTCTAGTCCACTTTTATTTATTTATTTTTTTTAAGATGGCAAACATTGGGGACGAGGGTGAGACGGTGAGGTGCTGAGGGCTATCCTGAGTTGTTGCAATGAATCTAATACCTGAGATAATTAATTTGTGATCAATTAATGCTCAAAAACATTATGCGGGATTTTTTTTTTATATTATGTAGTTCAATCTTTTAAAATTCCTCTATTTTTTCCATTATATGGCAGACACAAGTACACACGCACACACATCACTACACAGAACACACGGAACACAACATTCACATCTCTGCGCATATGCTCCTAATACGCCTATAAATAGGCGAAAACCAGCAACAAATTTCGAACTCTAAAATTCCTCCATTTTAGATGAAGTCAAGTATATAACAATCGCGTGGTTTACTAAAAGGAAAAGACAACAGCATATTGTGAGGGTGAAATGTGAATCTCTTGTCTCCAACGAAGATGGTTAACTAATTAAATAAAAGCAATGGTCGGTTCCTCTAATCCATCCCACACGTAATATATGTTTAATTAAGTCTGTCATTGTCAGTATAATATATGACCTTGGATCACATAGTTAACAATTGTTGTCGAATAGACAACCGTGTCACGTCGAAAGGCGTGATTCTCTCAACAGTGATTGGAAAAGAAAGATAATTGTATTGCTTAGTAAAAACTTTTTGGTTGCCCCTATTACATAGCTTTAGGGGGCTATTTATAGCTCTATTACAAGTTCCTCCTTTGGGGTTTAGGTTTTACAGGGGAATTTACATGGCTACCCTTATGATAGAGACATTATCAGGGGTACACATTGTCCTTTGCATGCATGGGCCTCTACTGGGCCAAAAGGGCTCGGCCTATGTATTTGACGAAACCCCCTGAGAGCGTAACAGCCCGCTGGGCCTCATCTTGGCAGAGTTCAGTACTTGGCGAAGCCCGTGCCTCTGTGCCAAAGCCTTCGCCTTATCGCCTTCGGCCATGCGGCCCGCCGACAAGGTCCTTGCCTGACAAAGCCCGCGTATTTCCAAGCCACGGCTTTCGCCCATACGGTTCCCTTTTCAACCTTCGCCGCTTGCCTCCAGTCCAAACCCGTCGCCTAAGTTGTTGGTTTCGGCAGATCCGGCCGAACGACCTCGTGGTGTACCTCCAACAACAATAATAACTAAAAAACCTCGGCACTCTAGAACAACACGCCATCGATCGATTTCCCAAAAAAGGTATTCCCTCAGCTTTTTAATATATGACATCGTTAATTTTTAAAAATACGTTTAACCATTTATTTTATTAAAAAAATATTTAATTATTATTTATTTTATCATGACTTGATTTATCATCAAATGTTCTTTAAATATGACTTAAATATTTTTATATTTACATAAAAATTTTGAATAAGACGAGTGATAAATGTTTGTTAAAAAATCAATGCCATCATATACTCCCTCCGTCTTAAATATAAGCATTTTTAGCATAATGACAAGTCAAACATTGTTTACGTTGACCATTAATAGCAGAAAAAATAAAAAAAATCAATCATGTAAAATTGAAGTTTACTAGATTTATTATTAAACAAACTATCATAGTATGCAACTCTTTTTATTTAAAACATCTTACTTTTATAAATATTGTTGGTCAAAATAGCATCTCGATGACCGTGTCAGGGTTAAAAATATTTATATTTTGGGACGGTGAAGTATTAAAAAACATAGGTAGTATTAGATAGGCATCACGAACTAGACAGAGGAAGATATAGTCGATTGACGTGTGACCACTAAGTTTCGACCGGTATGGAGATTTAATATGACAGCCATAATGTCAAAGCAATCTGGAGAATGCCATGTAAGAACAAATTGCTTAGGTTGTTTCGTCAAATATTTTTTTTGAAAAAAATAGTAATGGATCGAATCAGATTGCGAGCTGCATCATCTTGAATTTATCGTCGTAAGCTTTTCGATGCATGGTTAGACACATCTGGTTGAAGTCATCGAAAAAGAGAAGAAAAAGACCAACATGATCATCTGCTCACAGCTCACTGCCTTATCGGCCATAGCCAAAATATTAATTTTAAAACCGTTTTATCATAGTCTATTATTTTAAACATTGATTTTTAATCTACTTATAATACATACTTCATAAATCGTTTTGATTTTTTCTAAGATAAACTTATATAAGCAAGTTTATGGAGAAATATAGTAACTCGTATAACATTAAATTAAATTAGTTTCATTAAATATAAACATTGAATATATTGAATATATTTTTGATAGTATGCTTTAGAATGTTGCGATGTCTTTCTACAAATTTGATAAATTAGAGAAGTCTTATCGGCACTAGCTTAAACAATACTCCTATGTTCTTTCACGGGCCTTCTGGTTGGTTAAAGACATGTTCAGTTTATTAGATCTCTAATTTTTCACGATTAAATTTCTAATTAATTATTAAGTATTTAACCTCATATCTACTTCTCGATTGTTCGTACATATTTGTGGTTAGTACTAACCATTTTTAGTTTCAGATGATAATCTCAAAAACACTCAGAAAATGTCCATAGCAAACAAAGAAAAACATCCACAGAAAATAAATAAACTAAGTAAAATCTGTAACGGCGAAATTAAGCAAAGTTCATCGCCGGCGGGCGGTCACCGGTGTTTCCATCGGAACCCGGAAGACGGCGAATGAACCGCGCCGGCGCCACGCCACTGCTTCTTGTCGCCGCCATGTCCCGGCGCCGCACGGCCATGGCCGGCGTCCCTTGGCATTGCTCTCCGCCTCCTCCTCCGACGAGGTACGACCGTCTCCTCCTCCTCCGGCGACTCCGGCGGCGGAGGCGGCACAAATGGATACCTACGTATCCATGGAACTCTCATCCACTCTGTCATCACCGGCAGTAGTATTTCTCCCATGAACACGTCATGCGCCGCCGGAACACGCCGCCGCCTCACCGCCACGTACCTAGCCTTCCAGCTCACCGCCGTCGGCTCGCCATAGCTGACTCCGAGAAACCGCAGCCGCCGCCGCAGCTGGGAACGCAGCTTCGTGTACATGGGCTTCCAGAGCGTGGAGTCGTGCTCCGCGACGAGGAGGTTAAGCCCGACGCACGTGCACTCCACCCTCGCGAGGTCCTCGCCGGCGGCGAGCCTGGCGAGGATGGCGACCTTGACGTCGTCGGGGAGCGACATGAGCTCGTGCTCGGGCTCCACCGGCACGCCGTTCTTGGCGCACAGGTCGACGAGGACGCGCCGGCACAGCCTGTCGGCGAGCGCGCTCCAGAGCGCGGCGAGGCGCGCGCCGCGCTCGCGCCTCGCCAGCGCGCGCGCCGTGTCGTCCAGCCCGCCGGCGAGGAGCGCCGCGGCGGCGGGCGCGTCGAGGCAGATCCAGTACGTGTCCAGCCACGGGTTGGCGAACCTGACGCACACGTAGAACACGACGTGGCGCCGCCCGTGCGCGCACACCCTCAGCGCAACCGTCGCCGCCGCCGCCGCGGCGGCGTCTTGCCGGTGCCGGTGCAGCAGCTGCGGCGCGGTGTACCGGAGCGAGAGCGCGGAGGCCGTCGCGCCCACCTGCCTCGGAAGTCGGACGGAGCTTTGGGCGCCGTCGTCATTGGCGGCGCCGGTGGACACGAAACCCGCGTCGAGGAAGGCGGCGTGGGCGAGGATTACGAGGCGGCCGAGCAGGGGCTCGGCGTCCCACATGGCGGCGCCGATGATCCGGTGGAGTGGAGAGGTGTCGGCCATGGCGACTAAGTGATCATCAATGTGTCGAGTGTCGACGTTTGCAGGGAATGGATGCAGTTGTATAGGCTTTTTTTATTTCCTTCCAAAATTGAAAGTTTGGATTGTAATTGGTACGATGTGACTGAAAAGTTGTGTGTGTATGACATGTTAATGTGGTGGAAAAAGTTGAAAGTTTGGATCTAAATACAGCCATAGTGGAGTTACGTCTGAATTTCGTGACAAGGTTCTTTTCTGACAAAACTGTGCTTTTACTAATTATTTAATCATCCTAGGAGAGAAGTGCAAAAATGGGCCTTGGGTGTATTTATTTATGCCTATACATGCTTGCCTGCACCCTGTCAAGTTTGTTTTAATAACAAAAAAGTGTAAGAATGTGATGTTGCATAAAAAAAACCTGGGGTTTGATTTATTAGTTGGTGACATTTCTCCACGAATTAGTTGCATGTTCAATCGTTACAGTATAATTATTTACCTCATACCTGGAACATTTACTCCGTGGAGTAGAATATGGTTCCAATAGATTTTACTCTGTGGAGAAGAATATGTTCCAGTAGAATTATTTACCTCATAATAATATGGTTCCAGTAGAATTATTTATTACCTCATATCTGAGGTTTAATTTGTGGGCATGTTCATATGTTGTACATGCCCTGATTCGCTCCAAAATATGAGGTAAATAATTCTATTGGACATTTTCTAGGGTGTAGTTATATCCTCTAAAATTGTTTCTCCAGCTGGAGTAAATATTTCGTAAAAAAAAACGTAGAGAAATTTCCATAAACAAAACAAAAGTAGAGAAATTAACAACAAAACCAGATTGTTCTTTTTAAAAAGGAACCATATTGCGCCTTGCAGCATAATCATATCGTTTGCCGATATAAGCCTTTCCATGCATGGTTGGACATATCTGACTGTTTTATGCCTTTGATATGATATATGGCCAATGTTCTCAGCCATAGTCAGCATGACAAGGAACACCACCGGTTAGCTAGGAAGAAGAAACAGTAATCTAACATTCATTTTGTCAAGAACATATATTAAGCAACTTTTGTGGTGAATATACCTTTTTAGTTAGAGCCATTGGTTTTGTTTGATCCAGAAACTGTAAATCTATGCTAACATCGAAAGAAGCTAGTTTTACCATTAATTGAGTTTATACTTTTGTTTCGATATGGTGAAAATATAAAATTGAAAATGTATAGTTAGCTAGTGTGATTATGGAGTACGTCGTGGGTGCTTGGTTTAAAATAAAGAGTCGTGAGTATATAATTTCACTCATAGACTTTAAATCATTGTGCCCATAAATACATAGTACTGGGTAAGCTTTCCGTGGATTTTTTAATGAGTCTAGAGATTTGTTGCTGAATTTTTTCCCTTTGACTGTGTGTTAAATGAGCATTCGTAAGTGTCAGCATTTGTAACAGAAGAAAAATCTTAATTGGATTCCACTTAGCATAGTTTACTGCTACAAAGAAATCACTAGCTACATGAATCTAGAAGTCATTGTACACGGTGGGTGGAGTGTGTGTGGTTCTTTGCTTTTTCATATTAGCAGTTTTATAAGCTGTAAATTATTATGCGTGTAGTTTCAATTGAAGCAAAGACCAGATACCCACTATTGAAAAAGATTACTAAGGAAATAAGGATAAGGTCTCTAATTTAATTACTAACCTCATACTTAATACTTGGTCAGGAGAGTTCTAAGTTCTAACACCAGTGGATCAAAGATCCAAAGTAGCAACAAGGCATTCACATTTGTGATTAGGCTTAACCATTTTCAGTTTCAGACGATGATCTCATTCTCAGCACATTTACAAAGCAAACGAAAAGAAATCCATAAACAACTAAGCCAAAAAGGCTCTGCAACAGCGAAACCAAAGCACGTCGATCGCCGGCGATCACCGGTGCTTCCATCGGAACCGGGAAGACGGCGAGTGAACCGCGCCGGCGCCATGCCGCGGCTTCTTGTCGCCGCCATGTCCCCGCGCCGCAAGGCCATGGCCGGCGTCCCTTGGCATCGCTCTCCACCTCCGACGGCGGCGACGATGACGAGGGACAGTGATCTCCTCCGGCAACGGCGACGGCTTATCATCGAACACCCAAAAGCGTGTGAATGAATCGAAGTCCAAGTCCAACAATGGTGCATAAATCGGTAGCCTCCGTGTCTCTCTCATGGACGCAAAGAGCTCTCCGAAAGGCCACAGCCTCGCCGCCACATACTTCTTCTTCCAGCTCACCTCCGTCGTCGGCTCGCCGTCGTCGTCGTCGCCGCCTCCGATGAGCTGCAGCAGGAAAGGCAGCTTCTCGTACCTCGGCTTCCAGAGCGCGGCGTCGCGGTCGCGGTCCGCGACGAGGCGCCGGAGCCCGGCGCAGGTGCACTCGGCCCTCGCGAGGTCGTCGCCGTCGGGGAGCCTCGCCAGGATGGCCGCCTTGACGTCGTCGGGGAGCGACATGAAGGTGGGCTCCAGCGTCACGCCGTTCCTGGCGCACACGTCGACGAGGACGCGCCGGCACAGCCTGTCGGCGAGCGCGCCCCAGAGCGCGGCCAGGCGCGCGTCGCGCCGCAGCGCGCGCGCCGTGTCGTCCAGCGCGCCGCCGAGGAGCGCCGCGGCGGCGAGCGCGTCGAGGCACACCCAGTACGTGTCCAACCACTCCCTGAACATGGAGCATCTAGCCATGGACACGTACAAGACGAGGTGGCGCCCGTGCGCGCACAGCCTCAGCTGGACGGCGGCGGCGTCGTCCGGCCAGTGCAGCAGCTGCGGCGCGGCGTACCGGAGCGGGAGCGAGGAGGCCGTCCTGCCCACCTTCCTCGGAAGCCGGATGGAGTTGTCGTCGGCGGCGGCGGCGGCGGGCACGAAGCCGGCGTCGAGGAAGGCGGCGTGGGCGAGGATGAGGAGGCGGCCGAGGGGGCGCTCGGCGTCCCAGCGGGCGGCGCCGATGACACGGTGGAGAGGAGAGGTCTTGGGCTTGGCCATGGCGACAAAATGAATGCGTCCTTGCTGGGAAGGATTATATATTTTGCAAGGTTGCAGTTTCGTGTGAAATTCGTGGTTAATTCGAGTAGAAGCAACTTTTTAAAAAAAAATGAAACAAGAAACAGTATGGTCACTGCCACTAATCTATCTGCAACTTGTGTTTAATTAAGTCTGACACTGTCCAGGTTGTCTTTAACCTACACTAGATATATGGTTTTATTCCATTAAGAAAATACTTCCTCCGTTTCACACTATAAGTCATTCTGGCATTTTCCACATTCATAATAATGTTAATGAATCTATATAGATATACTCCCTCCATTCCAAATTGATCTACATATAGTTTTTTTTAAGTTTATTTCTAAATGATCTACATTGTTGTGTTCATTTATTAGGTCTATTCGTTATTTGTGCATTGGAGTAAATAAACATTGATGCATGCATCCATGCACACATGTATTTATAACCCACATACAATATCTTCATTTGTTATTGGCTAGGAAATAGTGGGGATGGTGCATGCATTGAGTTTGTTGCTAGAATAAATATAGTATGAGAGAGTTATTAGTTTTTCTTGGTCTTGGTATACCTATGAAATATGTAGATCGATTTGGAATGAAGGGAGTATATGTTTAGATTCATTAATATCAATATGAATGTGGAAAATACTTGAATGACTTACATTGTAAAACGGAGGGAGTAATAGAGACATGGGAATTAAAAACCAGCCAATGTGAATTGGTCGTCAAGAAATATACCCGTACATTACGATGTATCTATATTATTAGAAATGAATTGATTGTTGATGTAAAAAGGAGCACATAATTTTTCTTAACGAACTTCTCTTTTTTTTTTCTGTTTCTCACGTGAGAGGACCGTTACACGCAAGGAAACATACACATTTTTTATGTAGATATACAGACATTAAGAAATTAAGAAAGTAGGTACAAATAATTGGAGGAGAATTATGATTGATAGTCAAAAGAAAAATAGGTAAAGAGAATTGTTTATTAGTTGAGAGAAGATAGCAGGTGAATAAATAACTTCATTTTAGAATAAATTATTATAGTTAGAAATAGTAATATTTTGGGACAGAGATAATAAGTCATACAGATTAAAAATGTGATACTATGAACGCCATCAGGTCAAAGGAATTTGTCGAAAAGACCTGATTAGTGGGCCTGCAATTAGCAGTATTCTAACTTTTTTCTTTATTTCTTTATCAGCCCAGAGATCAGGAGGTCTGGGCCCGTGTGTCTATTCCAAATCCACGTGGCAATGATAGAAAAAGGAAGAGCGATTAATTAAGTCAGATCAAGTGAGCCAAGAGCACCAGTTTAGCCTAATAACCGTTCATTTTCAGTTACAGATCATGGGCCTGTTTGGGTCTGTTTGGAGAAGTTTAAGATTCTACGAAACAGCTGTTGGTAGTCAGCTTCTGACAAACTGAAAATACTGGGTTTTTCATCTTTTGGCTTAAAGTTCATCTTTTAGATTCTATAATTTTTAGATTCTGGATAAAAACTGAACTGTTTGAGAAAACTTCTGATTCTGGGAGAAGCTACCGCAGCAAGAAGCTCCCTCGAAAAGGCGCCATATATTCTCTCCACATGCAGCACACTGTTTACACCAGCTAAACTAGTCTTCATTTCAGTCGCTTCATCACGTTATTATCATGATGACTTGCTGCATGTTTTTAATATGTTCTTCTTTTAAAAAATATATCTTCCATTGTACTTCTTGATCACTTGTTTTAAGATATTTGTTGACTCTATTTATCAAAATATTTAACTTATGTATGTAATAGTCTGTATATCCATTTAATGACATAATCCGGTCAACAAGAGGTGGTCTCATCAGTGCCGGGTATATTCTCTGCATAGACGAGCTCGAGGTTCATGGTGGGAAAACCCTTATCGGTGCTAGGTTTTGTCAAACCAGCACAGATGTGCTCTTGTCACTGGTGCAATAACGATTATTCCGTACGGTCGAAAGCAATTTTCACGTGTGGATCTTCCAACCGTATGTAACAAAGTATTTACAAAAATCGCTATTTTTATATACGGATGGCGCACCCGCACACGAAAATCTGATTTTTCGTGTGCGGGGTGGTTATGTCGCCCACACGCAAAAATAAAAAACTAAAAAAAAATAAAATCCAAAAAAGCAAAACCCTAACCCAAAAGCAGCCGCCGCCGCCGCCCTCCTCACGGACTCCGTCATCGCCGTCGCCGTCGCGGTAGCCGGATCCGCCGCCTCCCCACCGTCCGAACCCGCCTGCCCGCCACCACCGCCACTGGATCCGGGCGAGGGACGGCCATCGCTGCCAGATTCGGGGGGGAGCAGTCGCCTCCGCCGGATTTGGATGGGGGAGGGGGTGGTCGTTCGCCATCGCGTGCACACTGCCGCGAGCCCGCCGCTCCCGGTTGCCCACCGCCGTGCACACGTCGCTGAGCCCGCCACTCCCGCGCCCACCGCCGTCGGAGCCGGAGGAGGAGGCGAAGAGGCCGGCGCCGGTGCCGGCGGCGTGGCCCGCGGGGCTCGAGCTCGACGCGGCCACGCGGTTCTAGCTCAGCTGAAGTGAGGAGAACATTAAGAGGAGGAGAGGAAAGTGAGGTGAAGATAAGGGGTAGAGAGAGAAGATAAGAGGGAGAGAGAAGGGAAACTCGAATTTTTTGAATAGGTTGAGAGGGAATGGGTATTTTTTCGGGGGATTTTTAACTATTTGCCACTTTTAGATTTGGCAAATAACTATTTGCCACCCCTATCTCAATGACACGTGGGTCCACATGTGTCTATGACATGTGGGTCTAGTGGGAAAAAGTTAATTGCCCCATCTAAATGTGACAAATGGTTAAATATCTCATTTTTTTGTGCAGGTCGATTATTAGGCCCGTCTGTGAAAATTGAGTATTTTTCCGTGCAGGACTGTTAAGATGCCCGCCTGTGAAAATTGATTTTTGCGTACGGTTTTCTTAAGGAACCGCACACAAAAATGGAGGATGATTTTCGTAGACGCGACCAGTCAGTGGCGGAGGCAGCGTGAGGGCTGGGGGGTCTTTAGACCCCCCCCCTACCCTCTAATGAATCATTAGAGCCCCCATTAAGACCCCCTAAAATTTAAATCCATATATCTATCGCAAGGGTGTTAAAATAGACTTTGTCTGAGATTGTTAGAAGGCCCAAAAGGCTGAGGAGTCCCCACTATAATTTTATCCTGGCTCCGCCACTACGACCAGTTATGTTCCGTATGCAATCTAAATGGATCTTTGTACAGAAAAATAGTTTTCGTAGTAGTGCAGTAGCTAGTGTTTGCATCTAACTTGTCGGTATAGTTGACGCTATACAATGTACATGGACAAATATCTGTAAGACTGTAACTGTCCCTCATTGTTCGGTAACTTTACTAGATGATGATTAATTAGCCATTTGATCGCTACTAAAATTGTGAGGTGCATTTTGCAGCTCTTTCGTAGCTGCACTGAGCTAGAAATATCCAAAATTTTAACAATGGATCATGCTAAATCAACACAAAACACAAAACTTGTGCTCCTCGTTTAATTTTCACACAAACGTACTATTTTTTTCACTCCGCATTTTCCTCTCAGTTGTTCACACAGGATAAAATAGAAAGATATACACTAAACACGCCGGTCATTTTTACTTTTAATCCTCGTTTCCTTCTTAATCCACACGGATTATAAAAATAAAAAGAGGTTAACAAGCACGCCTTTCCTTACTTACAGAGTTCCACACACAGGTAAATTTCCAGCTAGCAATTGACCCTATCGGCCCCACATGTCAGTCAGATTACCACACGCCACTCTCGATTCCCCTGTGCGTTTCGGACTGCATGCAAGGGTGGGCCCCACATGCCAGCCTCACGCAATAAATACCCTCCTCGGCACGAGCAGCAGCATCCGCAACAAATTCACAACCCTAATCCGGAAACATCAAGAACTCAACCCAATTCGCCTCCAATTAATTCCCCAATGGCCGCGGCGATCATCGGCGTCGGCGGCGGCGGATGGACGCGCCTCCGCAGCATCGGGCACGGCGCGTCCGGCGCCACAGTGTCTCTCGCGGCGGACGACGCCTCCGGCGAGCTCTTCGTCGTGAAGTCGGCCGGTGATGCGGTCGCCGCCACGGCGAGGCAGCAGCTCCGGCGAGAGTGGAGCGTCATGTCCGGGCTCTCCTCGCCGCACGTGCTCAGGTGCCTTGGCTTTGTCCAGGCCGCCGCCGGCGCCGGCGGCGAGCACCAGCTGCTCCTCGAGTACGCGCCCGGCGGATCGCTCGCCGACGTGGTGGCGAGAAACGGGGATCGCCTCGACGAGAGCGCCTTCAGGGCGTACGCGGCGGACGTGCTCAGGGGGCTTGATTACCTCCACGAGAAGCTCGTCGTGCACGGCGACGTCAAGGGGAGTAATGTGCTCGTCGGCGCCGATGGCCGCGCCAAGCTCGCCGACTTCGGGTGCGCGAGGGTGGTGATGCCCGGTGGTTCGAAGCAGCCGGTGCTCGGCGGCACGCCGGCGTTCATGGCGCCCGAGGTGGCGCGCGGCGAGGAGCAAGGCCCGGCTGCCGACGTGTGGGCGCTGGGCTGCACCGTCATCGAGATGGCCACCGGCCGCGCCCCGTGGAGCGACATGGACGACGTGCTCGCCGCTCTCCGGATGATCGGGTACACGGACGCCGTGCCGGACCTGCCGCCATGGCTGTCACCGGAGGCGAAGGACTTCTTGCGCCGGTGCATGCAACGGCGCGCCGGCGACCGGCCCACGGCGGCGCAGCTGCTACAGCACCCGTTCGTCTCAAAGTCATGCGGTCTCAAGAAAGAAGTCGTGAAGGCGACATGGGTGTCTCCGACGAGCGCGCTCGACGCAGCGGCGGCGTTGTGGGAGTCCGAGACGTCGTCATCGACAGACGATGAGGAAGCTGACGACATGTCGAACAGCCCCACCGGCCGGATCATAGCAATGGCATCCTCCGGCGGCCAGACATTGCCGGACTGGGACTCCGACGACCATGGCTGGATCGAAGTACTCGGCACCGTCTCCATTAACATAGCAAAAAAAAAAACAGCAGCAGCAGAAGATTACGAAGCTTCAGAGTCTCCGGCCAAGAGGGTGAGAGCAATGGCGTGCTCGCCGTCGTCGGTGCCGGACTGGGACTCCGACAACCATGGTTGGATCGATGTCCTCAGCGCGTCACCGGCCGACGACAATGGCGGTGAAGGGAATGCGCCTGAAGAATTCGATGTAGTGGCAGCCGCCGATCAGATTTTCGGCGAAGCTGTGGGTAGCATTGTTGTAGGAGTAGGTAGTGAACAATCTGTAGTTGTTGAGAACCAGGAGGATGAGTTCATCTCCTTGAGTTATTGCAGCGAGAGAATTTTGCTTGTAGCTGTTCATGCTGCTGATAATAATGCGGCCTCTCGAAAGGCCGGAATAAAAGAATGTTCTCATGATCCTCGTCCCTCGATCCCCAGTCGATGTGCTCATAACCTTTTTCTCTCCCTAATCTTCATACAGATCGATAATTCGAATGTAGTCCCCTTCGCTCCGAAATATTGACTTGTTACTCGATTAGAAGCCTCCTAGGACTATTAATCTAGGCAGAGCAGATCCCCTGTTCATAGTCATCATAGAACTACGTGACGTCTAATCAAGTACTAGCTTGGTATATTTTTTTGACAGAGCAAGGGTAGTGAGCTTTATTGGCATGGAAGGTGTTGATGTCGGAGGCCGGAACAGTGCCTCGCAGAGTCGCAGTCCAGCGTGGAGAGGTGAAGGATGAGTTAGAACGAGTCCTGCTGCACTTGAGCGCGCCGCATGGTCCCTCAGCCTGGTCGGGGGTATAGATGGCCATATGGCCCGTGGCCCGTGGCCCGGCCCAAAGCATGGCACGGCCCGACTGAGGTCGTGCCCATGTCGGCCCGACCCGACAGCCGGGCCATGCTTGGGCCACACCTTCAGCACGTTGGGCCGGCACAGCATGGCCCGGTCAAATAAAAAATATAGAGATGAAAAATAGACTTAAATAATCGTATAAGGCAAGGCCCAAGACAAGAGGTATACAAAATAGATTTATTTTCCAGCCATTTAAACACAGCCCATAGAGTTGAGGGACCAAACATAGACTTTTATGTGAGGAGTATACAAAATAGACTTATTCTCCAGCCATTTAAACACAGTACACAGAGTTGAGGGACCAAAATTAGACATTTTCTGTGAGGAAGCACGATAGCCCATCGTGCCTTCGGGCCGGCCTGGCACGGCTCGAGTAGTATTGGGCCGTGCCTGGGCCGTGTATGCCGCCCGTGAGCTGGCACAGTACAGCCTGGTGCATCGGTCGGGCCGTGCCGGCCCGACAAGCCTCGGCCCAGGCACGGCCGGGCTTGGGCCGTGCCGTGCCGGGTGGCCCACATGACCATCTATAGTTGGGGGTGATACAGCGGCTGACCCTGAAGCCTATGATGAGCAAAATAGACTTGCAAAAGGGCGTGATATTGTTCTATAGGCCTGAGTAGTACGTTGGCGTGTGCGTATATACCCCATCTTTGTTTGTAGGGAAGCTGCTACTATTGTTTGTCAGCTCAGGCGAGGTGAGGAAGGGGCGTGAGAGTGGGAGGAGGAGGAGGAAGGGGAGGGGGAAGGGGTTTTGTTTGGCTCTGGCCCAACGGTTCAGGAGAAGGAAGGGATATAGGAATTGGTGGTTGAGGCCAGGCTGAGCGTTTTGGAGATGATCTTGTACTTCTTGACGATCTCGACAAGCCAGTCGATGCCTATACATGTTGGTCATTTATGCCCTATGCCCATTCGAAGGTGTCACTATATATCGCATGCCCCCTCCGAAGCCCATTGTTGTTGTTGTGCTCGTCATCATGGTCCTTGTCATCGTTGCCAGACCCCAGCGGTACTGCGCCACCAAGGTCACCAAGATGGGGGTGGCCAGATCCGGATGCCATGCCCATATAGCTACACACCTCCGAAGCCCATCTTTGTGCCCGTCATACTACTAGGCCACCGAGATACAAGCGGGCACATCTCACTACCATGTCCAGAGGCTCACTAGCACTCGGGGCTTAGGGGATGGTGGCTTGCATTGGATCTAGCCACCTATATGATGTTAAGGAGAGCATATTCAGTGTCCTCCGATATCAGGGAGGTTGGATCTGGCATCTCTAAGGTGGTGGCCGGTGCTTGGGGTTAGGGGGTGAAGATGGTGGTGGCGGCTCGTTTTCGGGGCCAGAGGCGATGATGGCTGGAGTTCGAGGACGGATCAAGGAGGCAACAACTGGCTCGAGTCCTTGGGAGTTAGAGTATATATGTTAGAAAGAGATAAATTAAAGAGAGGGGATAGCAAGCGAGAAATAAAGAGGAGACGATGACGTCAACACGTGGTAGGAGCGTATGACGTAGTATGTCCTCCATGATAGGTTAAAAGAAAGAGCCATAATAGATTATAACTCATTTTTAGCGATTGTTATTTATAAATCGCACTTATGTCTTTATTATGTCTGGTGGGCCATATGATTGGACCTGCCATATATGTGGGGTCATCATATATGATCTTTGACGGTTTATAATTTTGACTCATCATAGATGACATCATATACAGGTAGTTCCCTTTTGTCATATCTCGAATGGTATTTTTTTTTTACATGTTAGAGCTCATGTTATCTGAGACGGATCACTTTGACCGGTTATCTTGGTTCTGTAGTAGTGAATGGAATATAAAGTAGCACAAACATACCTTTAACCGTCCCTTATTGCATGTTTCAGGGACTTTACTGGATGATGATTAATCAACCATTTAATCACTTCTAAAGATATGAGGCACATTTTGCACCATAGATCTTAATTTCTTAGCTCGATGACCACATTGACTAGTCTTGGACCCACAAAATTTCCATATATAACGACGAGAGAGAGAGTAGTTCTTAATAATTTATTTTAACATTTCATTTTTTTACAATGGATCATGCAAAAACGCAAAATTTGCTCACAAGCGTACTATTTCTCACTCCACGTTTTCCACCCCATGGTTTACACAGGGAAAAAAATAGAAAGAAATACACTAAACACGTCTATCCTTTTGTTTTTACCTCTCGTTTCCTTCTTAATCCACATGGATTAAAAATAAAAAAGAGGATAATAAACACACCTTTCCTTAACAGAGCACACTGGTAAATTTCCAGCTATAGCAATAATCTTGTCGGCCCCCTCGCTTCTCTAGTGCATTTCACAGTTCACACTGCAATGCGCGGCGCTACGGGTCCCACATGCCAGCCTCACGCATTAAATAAATACTCTCCTCGATCGACTCGAGCAGCAGCATTCGCAACCCTAATCCGGAAACACCAACAACTCAACCCAGCTCTCGCCTCCGATTCCCCAATGGCCGCGGCGATCATCGGCGGCGGCGGATGGACGCGCCTCCGCAGCGTTGGCCGGGGCGCTTCCGGCGCCGTGGTGTCGCTGGCAGCGAACGACGTCTCCGGGGAGCTCTTCGTCATCAAGTCGGCCGGCGAGGGCGCCGCGAGGCAGCAGCTCCGGCGAGAGTGGAGCGTCATGTCCGGGCTGTCCTCGCCGCACGTGCTCAAGTGCCTTGGCTTTGTCCAGGCCTCCGGCGGCTGCGGCGGCGGCGAGCACCAGCTGTTCCTGGAGTACGCGCCCGGCGGATCGCTCGCCGACGTGGTGGCGAGAAACGGGGGTCGCCTCGACGAGGGCGCCGTCAGGACGTACGCGGCCGACGTGCTTAGAGGGCTCGACTACCTCCACGGGAAGCTCGTCGTGCACGGCGACGTCAAGGGGAGTAATGTGCTCGTCGGCGCCGATGGCCGCGCCAAGCTCACCGACTTCGGGTGCGCGAGGGTGGCAATGCCCGGTGGTTCGAAGCAGCCGGTGCTCGGCGGCACGCCGGCGTTCATGGCGCCCGAGGTGGCGCGTGGCGAGGAGCAAGGGCTGGCCGCCGACGTCTGGGCGCTGGGCTGCACCGTCATCGAGATGGCCACCGGCCGCGCCCCGTGGAGCGACATGGACAACGTCCTCCCCGCGCTCCACAAGATCGGGTACACGGACGCCGTGCCGGACCTGCCACGGTGGCTGTCACCGGAGGCGAAGGACTTCTTGCGCGGATGCCTGCAACGGCGCGCCGGCGACCGTCCCACGGCGGCGCAGCTGCTACAGCACCCGTTCATCTCCAAGTCATGCGGTCTCAACAACAAGGAAACCGTCAAGGCGACATGGGTGTCGCCGACGAGCGCGCTCGACGCGACATTATGGGAGTCCGAGTCGTCGTCGACCGACGGCGAGGAAGTCGACGACATGTCGTCGAACAGCCCTACCGGCCGGATCAGAGCAATGGCATGCTCCTGCCAGACATTGCCGGACTGGGACTCCGACGACCATGGCTGCAGCTGGATCGAAGTCCTCGGCAGCGTCTCCATTAATGTAGCAAACAAAACAGCAGCAATAGAGCAGAGGGTGACATCAATGGCGTGCTCGCCGTCGTCGGTGCCGGACTGGGACTCCGGCAACCAAGGCTGGATCGATGTCCTCAGCAGCGTCTCCATTAGCATAGCAAATAAATTAGAAACAGCAACAGCAGCAGATAACGTATCTTCAGAGTGTCCAGCCAAGTGGGTGAGAGCAATGGCGTGCTCGCCGTCATCGGTGCCGGACTGGGACTCCGATCAAGGATGGATCGATGTTCTCGGTGCATCACCCGATGTCGTAGCGGCGGAAGAATTCGATGTAGCGGCAGCCGCCGATCAGATTTCCGGCCAAGCTGTGGGTAGCATTGTTGTAGGGGTAGGTAGCAGTGAGCAATCTGTAGTTGTTGAGAACCAGGAGGATGAGTTCACCTCCTTGAGTTCTTGCAGCGAGCGAGTTTTGCTTGTAGGTGTTCATGCTGCTGATAATAATGCGGCCTCTCGGAAGGCCGGAATAAAAAGATGTTCCAATTTTTCGTGCTAGATATGCAGTTTCCCTTCCATAATTTTCGGTTAGATATATAATTTGTTCTTGATAGGAACTTAGCCTACTGAGACGATAATTTATTTTATACAGAAGACAAACTGATTTTTGAAACGGAAGACAAAGCGATTGATGCCAAAAGAAGGCATTCATGGGTTTGTGTACTGTAGCAAATCCGACAACGCCTGCCCAGGGTGCTATATATATTATGCCAGAAGCCGAAAATAGGTGGGTTTTTCCGTATACTGCTCTTGCTTACTATATTAATACAATAGTGTATAATAGAGTGATAGATTGGGAAAGTGATGTCATCCCTCGAGGGGATATTCCTTCGTTTCATGCATGCCACCTAAATATAGTCATCAAATTTTTTTAAAAAAATTTGGCAAACATGCAAGTTAAAATTCAAATATGCCATATATTAATATGAAATATATGACTCCACAAACATGCAAGTTAAAATTCAACTTCTACAAGTTTCAACAAAAATAACAAATATATATGCGAATGTACACAACTATTTTCATTTTAATTTGTTCATTTTGTTGTAACTTGCGGAAGTGAAATTTGGTGTTGCATCTTTGTGAACTGATATATTTCATACTAATCTATGTTGTCAATTTTTTTTAAATTTTTTTTACAACTATTTAGATGACATGCAAACAACAAGGGGAGATATCCCCTCAGGGATGAAAATCCATATCCTGATAGTTTCAGTTGTTAGAAATACTAGCTAGCTAGGCTGGTTCCCGCTTCCCTGCTCCTTTCTGCTCCCAAAACAAATACTAGGTGCTTATGCTTAAGAAATCATCACATCCTTTGATTTTTTTTTATCACCAACATCGTATATTTAGGGATGGAGGTAGAATTATTTTTGCGGCCGAGGATTGGGTGTCGCGGGGCTCCAAGTGGCTGTTGCCGCTCAACGCCGCCGCCGCACGGGCCGCTGGGCGACCGTGCCCACCTAATCGCCACGGGAAACGGCCGGCGAGAATGGGACGGCGCACCGGCGTTTTGTTCGTAATGACGGACGACGCAGGCAAGCCGGCGCCGGTTGGCTAGGGTCCTTGCCGCGGCTTGCGCGATTGCGGCCGCGCGGAGTCGAGGCAAGGCGCGGGGACGGGACGGCGAGCCTGCCGGCAAGAGGGAGAAGGAATGGACTTTATCGCCTACCAGCTTGGCCAGAGAGAGGAGAAGAAGATGGGCCGAGTAGGGAGGTCAGATAGACTTTTTGCAGAGAACAGAATGAGGAGCTGGGTTGAGGGGAGTTGTTGAGGGGAGGTCAGATAGACTTTTCCAGAGAAGAGAATGAGAAGAACAATGTCGAATAGAATTTTCATGAAATCAATACTTAGAAAAGAATATTAGATAGAAATAGCCCCCGAGTGAATGCTTAAAAGGTGACATGTTATAATATGTATGGAAAACTGAAAATGAATTAAATTTACAGACCAATGTTTTTGTATATGAGCGTCTTCTCTTTTACCGACTTCGATCAGTCAGTTTGTTGAGTCATACACTCTCCCTAGCCCCCAGCCTTATCGTCGGAGAATCGTTCTCGGAGGATAAGGCTCTTGGACCCTTGACCTACCTTGGTTGAAAAATCGCTTACCCTAGCCCCCAGCCGTGAAGTTGGAAACCCAATTTCCGATTACACGGCTTGGTTAATACGCACGGTGAGAACTCTTACATGACCAGATCTTACATGGTCGTTCGTCTATGCATTTCCTGACAAGGCCTTATCCGCTCTGGGCGTCCCCAGCCGAAGTTCCCATAGGTTCCTTGGAGGCCTTGCTAGGGCGGTGTAAAGGGACCGTAGGATTGGTTTCAACTCTAGGTGTCGTCGTGGTAAGGGATCTATGGGTAAAACACTTGGCGATATTGTGTACCTGATATCAACTTTATTGAAGTAGAGGTAGTGGGAGAATCGCTACACCTCTGGCCGAAAACTAGTTGTAGCCCTAACTCGACCACCTGAAGTAACGGTAGTGGGAGGATCGCTATGCCTCTGGTTGGAAACCAGGGGTAGTTATAACTCGACCACTTGAAGTAAAGGTGTGAGAGATCGCTACAGCCTACTGGTTCGAAAACCAGGAGTAGCCTTATCTCTCGACCGATTGAAGTCGAGGTACGAGAGATAGCTATGGCCTATTGGTTCGAGAACCAGGAGCAGCCTTATCTCCCGACCGATTGAGGTCGAGGTACGAGAGATAGCTACGGCCTACTACTTCGAGAACCAGGAGCAACCTTATCTCCTTACCGATTGAAGTCGAGGTGCGAGGACCGCTACGCTGCTGGTCAAAGACCAGTCGTAGTCGTACCTCGTCCATCTGAAGTCGTGGTGCGAGGACCGCTACGCTATTGCCGTAGTCGTACCTCAACCATTTGATGTCGTGGTGCAAGCACCGCTACGCTATTGCCGTTGTCGTACCTCGACCGTTGGAAGTTAAGGCGCGAGAGATCGCTTCGTCATACTGGTTCGAGAACCAGGAGTAGGGGCCTCTCGATCGTCTATAGGGGCGCTAAAGTTGGTTTGTTACATGTGCATCTCATGTGGCCAGCATGACTCACATATCCAACTTATAGCATATCCGGATATCCGTTCGCAATCATGTTGGGTGATCAAGCTGACAACGTTCGCGAGAAATTATCCGTTAACAACCTTGTCTCGAACAGCCCAGCCATGGTCAGTGCTATGAGATAGGTCGTCGGTCATCGTTGGTAGGTTGGGTGTGACAACTTTGCATTTGTCGAGAACGTTCTCAATAATGCATGTGCTTGATCACAACCTACTCGAGTGCTTAGTCATTCCTGAAAAATATTTTCTAGAAGGCAAGATATATAGTAGATAATATCGAGTATGTACTCAGAAAACTGCGTGGATCTTCTAGTATTATCAGGATATAACGGGCAGATTAAATATCAGGGATTATGTAAACCGTAAACAAGCATGATTTATCATAAGAAAATAGAGCAAGCCCGTAGCATTAGACCATAGTTGGTTTAACGTCGGAAACACTCGCACAATAGATATTATATAAAAAACATGCTCTAGTTAAACATAATAAATCATGGATCTGACAATATTATATAGATCAGAAAAGTAAGTACGATAATTTTTTTATGAAATATCGCGTACCTGTGTAGATATATGCCAGATATATCTACGAAAATAGTATATATTAATTTAAAAAATTAATCTACTAAATACCTTTTAGCCAATCTGAATTGTCCTCCGTGATTAGCACGTGTGGACGGCTTACCTATGTATACAAGCATACCTATGGCTAAAATAGCCTTCGGTACACACCATGCATTACTGTACATGGGTCCCACCGCATGCATGCTTAATACATGTGTAGATGCAGTCGGCTAGTTGCTTGATTGGCGGGTAACGACGTGTAGTTGACTCTGGTCTGCTGTAGGCCAATATAATACTACCTCCATACTAAAATGTTTGACGCTGTTGACTTTTTTAAAAATGTTTGACCGTTCGTCTTATTTAAAAAATTTAAGTAATTGTTAATTCTTTTTCTATCATTTAATTTATTGTTAAATATACTTTTATGTATACATATAGTTTTACACATATCACAAAAGTTTTAAATAAAATGAACAGTCAAATATGTTTAAAAAAATTAACGGTGTCAAATATTTAGGGAGGGAGGGAGTATATCAGAAACCGATGAGGATACGTACACCTCGTCAATTCTCCGAACACGCTAATCGTCAGACCGATCACTGATGTCGTCGATACCCGGCGGTAATTCGTCGAACTTTTTGGCGGTCGATGTTAGTTTCCGAAGTAGCCGACATGGACCAAAATCCCACGGTCGACATTAGTGAACTAACGTCTTCCGCGACGGCAATGTCTTCAAGCTTGGTCTATCTCGCCGGATTAAATATTTGACGACAATGGTTCCGATCTTGTTGGACGACATACTCCGATCGGGTTAGATCTCCTCATAGCTGAAGTTGTCGAGTAGCTTGTTGTTGGAGAATCCATCTCATAAACCCATTTCATCGAAACCCTGAAGCACCAAAATCTCCCAACTGCGCGCGCCACTGTCGATGTTTGATGTCGCGATTCTGATATTTGCATAGTATGGGGATCATTGGTACTAGGATATTTGCGAGATTGTAGTAAAAAAGATGGAGACGAGGATTTTTATACAGGTTCGGGTCCCTGAATTGTCAGGTAATAATCCTACTCCAGTTGGTCGAAACCAGTCGTTGCTCTTATTCACCATAATCACACCAGTACAATATTTGGGGTAGCCTATCTAACTGTTATCGACTTGGCAGTCCGAAGTGCTGACTCGTAATCGACAACAGGGTACCCTTCCTCCTCGAATCCACATCCGGCGAGATCAAAGACAGTGCTATATCTCTCCTGACAGTATCCGTAGACACCGTAGGGGACTAGTCATGCTTATCTCTGAAGTCGATATCCGGCGTCTTGTCTTGGCGCATGTTGGCTTGTATGTTGATCTTGTATCTTGATCTATTGTTCCGTGTCCCCTCTCCTTCTAGGAGGCCTTATATTTATACCCATAGGTGTCCCCTTGTCCAAGTAGAACTAGGGAAATAAATATGGATACAATCCAAGTAGTCCTTGTCGTTTCCATGTAGAACTCTATTCATCCTTCCTTATGCGGAACTCCTCCTATATCTGAAGGTTGTTTCCGTATAAGACATGGTATGTGGTGGGTCCTGCCGAGATTTAGTCAACTACTATTAGGTATGTGGTATCCATAACCCTGACACCCCCAAGTATGCAAACTGGACGAATTACCCCCCTCGACCCAATCCACGGTGGTTTTGGTCTACGTGGCAGTCCAGTCAGCGTTTTTAATTAAAAAATTGTGGGACCCGCATGTCATACACTTCTTACTCTCTCTTTCTCTATTCTCTCTCTTTCTTTTCTCTCTCGCGCAGCGCGCACGGTGAGGACGAGCGTAGGGACCGGCGATCGGCGATAGGGGTGGAAACGAGCCAAGCCAAGCCTGGCTCGGCTCGGCTTGTAATGGCTTGCAACAAGCTAGGCTTGGCTTGGCTCGGCTCGGTTAGGGAAGCGAGCTAAGACATGAGCTTGGCTCGGCTCGTTTCCTGGCTCAAGCCAGCTCGAGCTGGCTTGCGAGCCTTCCGTTGAAGCTATATAATTTATAATCATTAAGAAAAGCGATAACAAATTATCAACATGTAAAATTAAAATAACTTTATATATTAAATTCATCAAAATATAGATGATAAATTACATATTGACAAATAATAACTCCACTAGAAAATAAAATCATCCATATAAATACATGATGGCTAAGGCTCACGAGCCAAATCAAGCGGCTCACGAGCCAGCTCGGGCTCGGCTCGTTTCAGAACCGAGCTGAAAATGAAGCTTGGGCTTGGCTCGTTTGGCATTCAAGCCAAGCTGAGCTAAGCGAGCTCGAGCCAAGCCCGAGCTGAGCTCATGAGCCCAAGATTTTTTTCCACCCTAGTCGGCGTCGCTACTCATGTCGTGCTGCGCGGCGTGGTGGTGGTCCTCCTGCTCGTCGACCTGCTCGGCGTGGTGGTACTCCTCGACCTGCTCGGCCGCCGCCGCCGCGAGCCACTGTCGCCGACCGCCCGTCCCCGCGCTCGTCCTCGCCGTGCGCGCTGCGCGAGAGAGAAAAGAGAGAGAGAATAGACAGAGTAAGAAGTGTATGACATGCGGGTCCCACAATTTTTTAATTAAAAAACGCTGACTGGACTGCCACGTGCACGCCACGTAGACCAAAACCAACGTGGATTGGGTCGAGGGGGTAATTCGTCCGGTTTGTATAGTCGGGGGTGAAAAATGTTCGGTTTTGTGGTTCAAGTGGGTAATTCAGACGACCGCGATAGTTCGGGGGTGTAATTCGTACTTTTTCCCATTTTATACTACTCCTTGGTGATGTTGTTCGTATTCTGATCTGTTGCTACTAGCTTCTACAACAAAGCGATATATCAAAGCTCTTGGCTCTTGGACAATATATTCACTAACATCGGGTATTTGGGTGATGTCAGTTGATTTTTGAGCACTTAGTCGAGACATCTTGATACTGCGTGCTTTGCCGACAGAAATTTGCTAATTGATTTTTTAGATAATCATTTTGGAAGGGTAATGCATGCCGCTTTTTTAAGAGAAACATAGTACAAACACAAGAGTTCATATACACGCGTGTGCACTTATCCATAGAAAACATATTCGAGAGACTGAGCCAATGATATATCTTCAAATTAGTGAAGTCACCACAAGCACCTCGCTATTGATGGGAACGTCGCCTACTACAAAAATAATTAGCCATAAATATGAGACCCATGTCAAGACTACATCTTAAACCTAGGTGGTTAAGTTCCACCATACTTAACTAACCAGCCATACTCACTAATTGCAGATAATGTGGAGCCCCTCTTCCCTCTCCTTAACTCATTTTTTCCTATATTATTTGAGATAAATGTAGTACATAAATATAATAAATAAACTATTGTAACTTTTAAATTATATATACAATTTTTTTTATTCTACCACAATTATATTCTTTACATTTAAATCAATCCATATTTACTATATTTTTATTTAGAAAAAAATAATAAATATTATTTTGATCCATGATTTGACCATTTGTGTTATATCTCACAGACAAAAAAACACGAAAAACACAGGTTATAGTGTCATATATCACATTATAATCATAAATAACTAAAATTAGATCTAAGATGATTGAAAAAAAAGTTTACTAAATTATATTATTTACCATTAACTTAATTTATGATCTATATTAACTATACTTTAATCTATAAAAAATTATATTTTAGGTCATATTTTTATTCTTTGTGTGTAATCCAAACGGACATGAAAATTATAAAAAAAATGACAGTGTGGAGTATATATCACTATATATTCTTTGTCGGATATAATAATATGTACCACTAAATTAGATTTACAATATCAACCAGAAACATGTCATATCTTTGCGCTTTATATGGCATTTGAGAATTATAACAAATCGTGAAAAAACAATTTAATGATATGGCTAATATCATCACATAAATATGCTTACTATGTAGTGTGCACTCTATTCAGCCCATATCAGTTCACAAATATGCTCGACTTAATTAGATTTACAATATCAACAAGTAGCAAGTCACAGCCTTGCATGGCAATTGAGAATTACGACAAATCATGATAAAAATTAACAATATGGATTATATGATCATATAAATATACTTATCATGTGGATTCCAATCTATTCGGACTATACAGGGATAATCTAAAATGTCAATTCTATTTACCAAATCATGTATAATTTGTAGACTACACCCTAAATAATAAGTAAAATAACGGATGGAGTACATGTTGTGTTTTATCCCCTTTGATTTCTATTAAATACGTATGGTGTGTGGGTATTTTGTATATACTAAGTTTGGTTAATTATGGAATATAAACAATACTAAAGTTAATATAAGAATTCATGCATTAAAAATACACGTCATAATAAGAACTTACTTAACAAAAGTATACTTTAGTCTATACTTTAGTCTATGGTGCTTAAATATTTATAAATTCTCTAAACATACTAATTATTTCCGCTCTTATTTCAAACTAAATTCATTTTCTCCACATAATATAAGAGATCATATGAGAAAAAAAAAAGAGGAGGGAGAAGAAGTAAATAGAAGTCTGCCATTAAACAGATAAAATAGACATCTATAACTCCAAAGTAATATATGCTGATTTCTAAAAAAAAATACACACACATGGTACACGTAATAGTTCCATATGAAGTAGCACTATTGTTGTGAAACAATAGTATCTCATAAATTAAAAACCACACGGTTTAAATAATTTTGGTTTAGAATTTATATGTTTGAAAGGTAATTAGAAGAAAATTAAAAGCGACGTTCACAACAACCTCAAACAAATTATTGATAAAAACATGTTCAGAATAGAGTAAAAAAATATTTTAAGAAATACTCATCCACACATAAGTATTCATAACTAAAATTCAAGTAACATTAATTAAATAAGGTGCCCCGCGCACATACCTTTCTAGTTTGTGAGAATAACCTGAAGGGGAAGCTGCATGAGTAACCATAACAAATGAGGACAATGATGTCGCACATTATGCATCGGCATAGGTAAAATTACGCAAATGGAGTATAACAAAGTACGTATCCATGGACCCAATTAAGTGCTATTAATTGCATCTTGCTCATCAATTTTTAGAGATTCGATCGAGGGTTGATCAATGACTCCAGGCCTGGCATTGGGCCGCCGTGCTCCAGAAAAGCCAATGCTTGACGGATGGTAGGCCGCTTGGTAGCATCATCAAGGCGGGAGCAACAGAGTCCTAGGATGAGTACTCTTTCCATCTGCGTCTCGTCATACTGGCCTCTCAAATTGTCATCAGCAGCCTGCAGGAGAGATTTGTCCTGGTACAGCTGCCAGACTTGTTCCCTGGAGGTGCCTTGTGTGCATGCCACCACTAGCAGGACCATGCCGAAGCTGTACATGTCAGAGCTACGATCGAATTCAATGGTCGCGTCCCTCATGCAGAGTGGATCAATATAACCCTTAGTCCCATGGGCTGTCGTCTTCACTATGTTGTTGTCGGGGTCGGCGATCCTTGACAGCCCGAAATCAGCAAGCTTGGCATTGAAGTTGTTGTCCAGGAGTATGTTGTCTGGCTTGATATCTCTATGCAAGATGTACGGGTGGCATTCTTCATGGAGGTATAGAAGAGCATTGGCGATATCCTTTATTATTATGAACCTAATATACATATATATAAAAGAATTTAATAAGTTGTACCATATATATATATATAAATATATATATATATATATATATATATAAAGCATGCGTGTGTGTATATTAGTTAGTTACCTTGTTGTCCATTCGAGTACTCCCTCGTGTAGGCGTTTAGCAAAGGTTGCCATTGCTCACCAGCTCATACACAAGGAAAAGCTTATTCTTTTTGTCATGCCTCCACCAGAATATGAAATCAACAATGTTGAACCTATTTTGCCTGCACCAGCCAATGAGCCTGACAAGATTCTTGTGCTTCACCCCACCAATTGAGCTGAGCTCGGCGATGAAGTCCTTCCTTCCATTTATTAGGGTTTTAACCGCCACCTCATAGCCTCCTAAGGACCCGCGGCAGACCACGCCAAAGGCACCACGCCCAATCACATTCAAAAACTTGTTAGTCGCAACATTCAAATCTCGGTATATGAACTGCCTAGGTCCCCCAATTTCCTTAAGATCTAAGTCGTCATTGCTCCTTCTTGTCCACATAAAACATGAGACAATAATCTACACAACAACCACCACTAGAGCTAGGACTCCAACAATAAATAATGCTTCATAGCCTGCAAGAATATCTCTTGTAAGACAAGTATGTACCATCCAATGCATTATCGTACTCTGTGTACGAGGGCTAGACCCATTCTATAATAGCATGCTATAAATAAGCTATAAGCATACTCCCTTCGTCCCAAAAAACCTAACCTAGTTAGGATCTGAACTGAAAATCTGTCCAAATTCATTGTACTAGATTATGTCCCATCCCAATCCTAGATTAGGTTTTTTGGGACGGAGGGAGTATGCATGCACATCAAAGGACACACATTATAGGTAAAAAATATCATGTATAGAGAAGATCCTTAAAGTAGTACTTCCTCCGTTTTACAATGTAGGTCATTTTAGTATTTCTCATATTTATATTGATATTAATGAATCTACATATATAATATGAATGTAGAAAATGCTAGAATGACTTACATCGTGAAACGGAGGGAGCAGTGTCTAGCCAAGAGAGTATTAGGATAGGACCCAACCTCAATAGTGCACAAAAAAAAACCAACAAATATTTTGTCCTAATACTATTTGGATGATGATTAGGTCTAAATAGAACCCAACCCATTGCGATTGATCTTATCAGCGTTTTCTTACTTTGCATAACAATAAATTCTATGGACTATTTTTTAGATGGACCACTGAGTGTAAGGCGGAACCAATGACAGTGTCTACACGAATTAATAGCTTACAGCATATTACCTATATTTTTTAATAGATGACGCTATTAACTTTTAAACACACATTTAACTATATGTCTTATTAAAAAATACGTAATTATTATTTATTTTGGTATGTGTTGTTTTTTCAAAAAAGTACTTTAAACATATCTTATATATTTGTACGATTTTTTTAATAAAACAAATTGCTGTCCAAAAGTTTACGTGTCATCTATTAAAAACTGAATGGAGTATGATTGAATTAATCTGATTTGACAAGAAAATTAATGATAAACATGTCTTGCATGAGACAGAACTGATGCACACAAACTAATACACCAAGAAACATAGCAAAATAACTTTGGGGTATCTATGGCACAAAATAAGAGGCAAATCAATAAATTAATAAGAGGAAGATATATATAACAATCATAAGATATAACTTACTATTGAAAACAAATAATAATATATAATTTATTATTTGTTCAATTTTATCAATTAGTATCTTATAAACAAATAACTTAAGATAGAACGGCAGTAGTATAATATAATATAGACCCAGGCCCATTGACTTAACCTCATTTGCTGATATACGTCATTGTGGAAAGAGAAGATCTTTATACCATCACGCAATAACATGAAATCATCTAGGCATATAAAACGTTGACTAAAATATATCAGAAAGCTGAAAAACTCTAGAGTGATAGCATTGTACTATGTCCAGATGGCTAAAAATTAAATCTGGCAAATCAATTAACTAAGGGACTATCGCGTAATGTAATTGATAGTGCATCGAGTGGAGGAACTATTGTCGTCGAGCTCACTATTGTCGTCGCCGTCTGCTATAGTCGTCCCCGTAGTAACTGTCGAGGGTGGCATTGCCAAATAAGCCGCCCTTGAGCTCTGCCGTCACCGCTTGCCATCATTGTTGCCCATCCGAACCTGCCGCCGCCAGCTCGTTCTCACTCAGCTCGCTCTAGCCTGCTCCGCCTTAGCCGCCGGAGAACATAAGGGGGAGAGGAAAGGGGAAGAGTGTTGACGTGAAAAACACAAAGGCCTGGGAGATCTATTTAGCTCAAGTGCATGTCCTAAATTATAGTTGAGATGTTGATGTGCCAATCAGTTTGATCATGCAACTGACTAGATATATAAATGGATGATCAAAGAGCCGATCGACCAACAAGCTGATATCGATAGGGTTTTTAACAATCGACTATATGTCCGATGTGGACTCTGATACTTGTATAAACAATGATATAAAGACAATCAGCTAATAATAAAGTAATAAATAAATATCCAATGTACCAATCGGCCAGTATAGATGTAACGAAGCAAAATATCTAATGAACCAATCGACCGATGTTGATATAGAAATAATATTAAATGTAGTCTCGATGATTAAAACATACATCGGCTAGAAAACCAATATCATCAATTCCAAATGATTAAGGAATCAATTAAACCTTCGCTACAATCGGCTAAAACCAACTTGTATATAATCCTTATAAGCTAATGCAACACTTAAACAACATCCAGAATCCAGATATGTCGGAGAATGAACTCCTCCACCGGGGAACCGTGAGGCCCCCCTTTGTGAGTTCGGCCGGGGGCAGCGGGTGAGATTCGAGGGCTTGGTGAGCGAAGCTGTGTCATCTTGAGGGAGTTATCCCCCTCCAAGGTGATGAGACAAAAGGAGTTTATACAAGTTCGGGCCGCTGAGAAGCGTAATACCCTACTCCTGTGCTTAGCTGATCTTGTGATAAATTACAAGATCTCCTTGTTGGGGTAGAAGGTGTTGATCATCAAGGGCTCCAGCCCCCCCTCCTACTAGGCCTGGACCTCCTTTTATATCTCAAGGGGTTACCACATGGGCCCAAAAACATAACTTAGTGGAGAAGGATTACAATCTTTACATTAAATGCATGTCTTGTCTCTTGACTTGGGAAGCAAACGCACGTCATCTTGATGATGAGGCCTGTCAAATCTTGCCGCCTGACACGGGGGGTGCCCCTGTCAGTCACCATTTAATGGGTGAGGACTTCTGGGCTCCTATTACATCGGGAAACGGGAGCCTTGCTTTGACCAGAGCGGGAGGGCCGACTTCGGCTAGGATAAGAGGATGAGAACCTCCCACCATCACTATTTGATGGGACATGTCAGGCTGCACGTCGCCTGACACACGAGCAGCGCACAGGCGCACTACCCCAGTCCCATCGGTCATTCGACCGGTCACAGACCAGTTGAGTGCATTGCACACCATATTAAATGCGGCATGGCGCGACTACTCGGGCCGCCATAAATGCGGGTAGGTGGGCACCTGGAGGCGGACACTTAACCCACCGTACATGGTGACCTAGAGAGGGGGTCGGGGGAGCCCGACCCCTAGTCACGGGAGGGGGCGGCCGCCGCCCGACCTCAGGCCACGTGGCGCCTGGGGCAGCCTTCTCCCTCTTGTCTCGGCCAGGGAGTGGCCGTCGCCCCACCTCGGGCCTGACTCCCCTCGGGGGAGGGCCACGTGGCATCGGGGGGCAGCCTCCTCTATCCAGTCTCTAGGAAGGAGTGGCCGCCACCCTACCTCGAGCCTGACTCCCCCCCTCGGGGGAGCCTCCTCCCTTTAAACCTGATACCCCCGGGCCCATATCACCGACAGTAGCCCCCGGCGTTAGCCCTAACCAAAACTTTCCCCAGGTGGTCAAGGTTGATGCCACTCTCCTAGTCTGATGATATGTGGGCCCGGTATCTTCTTCTTTCTTTGCTAGCACTAGGACCCATGCGCCTTTTTCGCCCCAGCCTGAGGGCGACTCGCCAGCCCGTACCTTAGGCTGTAAACTTATTTTCTGTATACATTCAGCAAACGTTGTTAGATTCTCTCGGGCCCGCGACCTCACGTCGCGTACCTCGCTTGCCCCTGCCTTTTGTTAACCTCTGTTCGTGTTCTACTTCATCTATTCAACCGATTGTTTTCGCGTGAGTGTGAGGACTGAACTTTCCATAGCCAGCAATCTTCACCCGCGATCAAGCTAAGCTCGGCGCCGTAGCGAGTCGACGGGGCCAAAGCCAGCTGCTACGGAAGAGCTAGCACAGGGGGCCCCGGGCGTCGACGGTACCCAAAGCTCGATGCAGGGCTAGGATAGAGCTAGGAATCGTAGCCACCACACTTTTAGCAAAAAATCGTTTGGATGGATAAAGCGAATACAAACTTTTCGTTACCAAGGGGGGCAAACGAGCGCGCGACACATGGGTACCGCGGGACCGCGAGGATGAGATGAGAGATAAATATAAGCCATAATAATTCTATGCAAACGATTATCTTCGCACGAGTGCGAGGACTAAATTTTCCATAGCCAACAATCTTCACCCACGATCAAGCCAAGCTGGGCGCTGTAGCCAGCCGTCAGGGCCAAAGCTAGCCGCTACGGAAGAGCCAGCACAGGGGGCCCCAGACGTGGACGGCGCCCAGAGCTCGTCGTAGGGCTAGGATGGAGCTAGGAATCGTAGCCCCCCACACTTATAGCAAATAATCGCTTGTATGAATGAAGCAAACACAAACCTTGCTTGCATGTCGCGACCTTTCAAACCGTTAGCTCGAAGAGGGCCTCCCACCATGGGTTCCTAACCATTTGGGAAGCCTGCGACCATTGAAACTTGAAAGGACGATTAGTTGAGCCGGGTCAGGCACCGTAGCCAGCCGGCGAGACCAAAGCTAGCCGCTGCGGAAGAGCCAGCACAGGGGGTCCCGGGCTTCGACGGCACCTGGAGCTCAACTGCAA